ATGAATAAATATTAAACTATCATAGAACACTCGATGTACTCGAAATGTGCAAAAATCAAACACAGGGTTTACAGTTGGGAACTCCTATAATATAATACCCGATGTGCCGGAAAATGACCCCAGGAAAAAAAGTAGAAAGCCAAGAGGACTTACCATAAGTCACCCCAACCAGCCAAAAATCAAAAGCATAAGAAATACAAAATACCGATAATATGATACTACGAGAAAAGATGCTTTAGAGCCCGTGTGGCCGCGGGAACTAAATATTTTAACCCTAAGACTTGTGGGGGATTTTGCGGGATTGCTCGCGGGATGAGAGAAGGGGGCTTCACCCAACAAGAAAGAAGGACAAATAAAGCAATAGAGAGAGAAGGGGCTAAATTAAACTTGGGGATACGGTAGTGGTAAAATGTCCAGACAGACGGGGTTAATGAAAAATTTACATTAAATAGAAGATGGTGATGTCAAATTTGAAGATGCGGGTGGGTATATACGGTGGTTGTTGTAAAGTTCGATACCGGTATCCTTCGGGGGAGTTGTTGCGCAAAAGAGGAGCACCATTCATTCAGAAAGCGGAAAGGAAGATCATTCTCTCCGGACTTAACTTAACCCCTGAGAAGACTGTTGGCTTTCTAGTAGCTCCGCAACTCCAACATTGTTATTCATGGTGGACCAGGTGAGCGGCGTTCGTCCTTTCTTATCTCGGGTGTGAGGGTCGACTCTATTGTCCTCCAATAACAGCTGTACTATCTCGGCAGTCCCGTATGCGGCAGCCCACACGAGGGGTGTTCGGCCATCGATGGTTGGAAGGTTGGGGTTGATGTCTTCCCGTTTCAATAGTAGCTTGGCCGTCCCGTCAGAACTCCGCCGGGCGGCCCATGAGAGCGGCGTCCGGCCCAGTTCATCTTGCACGTTAGGGTCGACCTCCCTTTGGTTCAAGAGTGGCTCTACCACTTGACCACGACACTCGCGGACCGCTAAGCAGAGTGGTGTTTGGCCCTTTTCGTCTTGTTTATTGGGGTTGACATCTTTGTTTTTCCAATAGAAGCTTGGCGACTCGCGTGTGCCCGTTACGCGCAGCCCATAGCAAGGGTGTTTCTCCCCTGGTATTTGTAGGTTCGGGGTTGACGTCTTCTCGTTCCAGGAGTAGCTTCACTATTCCCTCATGCCCTTCATGTGCAGCCCATGAGAGAGGTGATAGGGAGTCGTTGATCACAAGGTCCGCGTTGATATCTTCTCGTTCTAGTAGTAGCCTTACTATTTCCAGTCGCCCACACTGGGCAGCAAAGGAGAGCGGTGAGTGTTCATCATCGTCGGATATATTGGGGTCGACATCCTTCCGTTCCAACAGTAGCTTCACCACCGCTTCGTTTCCATGCCAGATAGCATAAAAGAGCGCGTTTTTCCCACAGTACGCGATTTGTCTGTTAGGGTTGACATCTTTTCGTTCCAATAGTAGCTTCACTACTTCCTCATGCCCCTCGTGGGCAGCCAACCAGAGTGGTGTTTGGCCATAGTAGCCCGGCCTGTCCGCTCTGACATCTGATCGTTCTAGTAGCAGCTTGACAACTTCCACATGACCCCCGTGGGCAGCCCACGAAAGCGGTGTTTGGCCGTAGAAATCTGCCAACTCGGGTTTGACAAGTCTCCTTTCGAAGACTAGATCCATCTCTTGCCGTATTATGCTCGGTGATTTTCTGCAAGTCTTACAATCCGGTTGATGCTGGGTTATATCGTGCGCTCTCGGTATAAATGACCTCGAATTGGGTTGGTGTTTATGAACTCAGTAGGTGGTTGAATCAGATGGGTCGATCGGAGGTGTGATCTTAAGAGATCTGTGAGATGGATATGGTTGTGTTCTTAAGTATGATACCCTTGAAGTTTACGTCAGGGCCCCTTTAGTAAGCTCGATTACATAAGCCCGTGATTAACACAGCATCGCATTTCGAGGTGGGCCAGAGTCTCCCTCAGCGAGGCGACACCCCTAATGAGACGCTAGACTAGAGGTTCAAAATCGATTTATTGTGGCTGACGGCAGTATCAACTTGACAATCAACGCCTCGACTAGTTGAGGGTGCCCTCGTCAATTAATGACAACGGCTCTATGATGAGCCTCCTACACTACTATCATACTTAATGACAAAATCTATATTTACCCCATCACTGAACCCCCTCCACAGTTTCCAAATACAAGTACCCGCCACCAACAGCCTTCCTCCTTCCTCTCTTCCTTTAGTCCATTTATCCCAACCCCAAACCTCAACAAAATCCCGAAATTCGGGTCATAGACCGGTCTATTGTCGACCTTTTCGTCGAAAAAAAGTATATAGCCAAAACAGGGTGCTCCGCTAATTTGTGGGGGTGGTTTATGGGGTATTTATGGTGGCTAGGGTATATAGTCTATAATATTATTTCAACCACATCCTAGTCTCGGACGGGGGAGAAGAGATGAATGAATTGGGTTGAACCGGGGAGGCATAGTACCTGTATTAACCCCGCGGGTGAATTCCGGGGTTTGATTAAAAACATTTAAAATAAGGAAAATAAGGAAAATAAGTGTAGTGCAAATACTCTTGTATAAAGTCCTCCAACATGGACGTCCCCGTTTAAATAGACTCCCCAGGTGCAATTGTCCTCTTCCTCCCCTCCACCAGCCATGCATTTCCTGGATCTCCTATCCATAGCACTCCTCCTCGTGCTCCCGGCCGCCTCCCAATTCACTGACCCACTGGCACACCTCCCATACGGCGACTTCCAGGGCAAGTATGACAAGACCTACAACATCAGCTACTTTCGCAAAATCCCGTTCGCCGCACCGCCCGTGGGCGAGAACCGCTTCCGTGGGCCGCAGCCGGTGGTGGGCGTGTTCAACGGGACGTACGACTCCAACGTGGCGTACGATATGTGCCCGCAGCGCACTGTGAACGGGAGTGAGGATTGTTTGTACTTGACGTTGTATTCTCGGCCGTGGAGGGAGGGGATGGAGGAGAAGAGGCCTGTTATGGTGTTGTGAGTTTTGATGTTGATTTACAGAGAGAGGGAATGGGGTTGACGGGTGTTATAGCTTTTACGGAGGCGGGTTCATTCAGGGCGCGGCGGGGATGGGACTGCCGCCGTCCACGTATCCCGTTATGAATATGTCCGTGGTGAATGATTATATTGCGGTTTATCCGAATTATAGGGTACGCACCGGTCCCTTCAAACCCCTTAAATGTCCATGCTAAGTAATTCTCCAGACAAATGCTTTCGGCTTCCTCCCCGGCCGGCGTATCAAAGAATCACAAACATCAGACCTAAACACTGGGTACCACGCTCATCTCCCCCTTCTCCCCTCCAACCCCACTAACGTACCATAATTGACAGCCTTCTCGACCAACAAGCCGCCCTAAAATGGGTCAACGAGAACATCCAAGCCTTTGGCGGCGACCCATCCAACGTAACAATCTGGGGACAGAGCGCCGGCGGCGGCAGCGTTGTCGCCCAAGTCCTAGCAAACCGCGGCGCCACGCGCCCAAAACTATTCCAAAAAGCCATCGCGTCCTCACCCTTCTGGCCACGCAACTATAAATACGACGACCCAGAAGCGGAGGAGATCTACGACACGCTGGTCCGTCTCACCGGCTGCGGCGATGCCAGGGATAGTCTGCGGTGTCTGAAAGAAGTGGACGTGCAGAGGATCCGCGGTGCTAGTCAGGTTATTAATGCGATGCATACTTACAATACGAGTAGTTATACCTGGGCTCCCGTTGTCGACGGGGAGTTTTTGGTGGAGGGGTTGAGTTCTGCTACTGCTGCTGGGAGGGTGAATAGTGAGGTTGTCATGGGGGTTTATAATCGCTTTGAAGGGTCGACGTTCGTCTCCTCCGCGCTGAATAGTACCACCAGTTCGGGCAGCTCGGGGACTGGGGCGTTTAATTCTACGGATGAGAGATTTAGGTATTGGCTGAAGGGATTCTTGCCAAGACTTAGTGAGCGGGAATTGGCGGGGGTGGAGAGGATGTATCCCAAAGCTGTGGGGAACGGGGGGTTGCTGTATACTACGCAGCAGGACAGAGGTATGTCCTGCCCTGCTAATTAACCCCGTAAATCCAGGGCTAACCTTGTGCGTAGCGGGATACATATACCGCGACCTGATCCTCGCCTGCCCAGCATACTGGATAGCAGCGGGGAGTAAAAACGGCTACATTGGGGAATACACTATTTCCCCCGCTAAGCATGCCAGTGATGTCGGATACGTTAGTCACCCCCCCATCCTTTCTCCCATCCTAGCTAACCGCCCCCCCCCCCTCCCCGCAGTGGAACACAGTAAATAGCCTACAAACCACCCAACCAACCCAATACCACGGCTTCGCCGGCTCCTTCGGCAACATGATCATGAGCGGAAACCCAAACGGCTACTCCACCTGGCCGGATGTGAAAAGCGGGGAGCAATGGATAATGAGCATTTCGGGGTTTTCAACCGGCGGGTTAGATGAATTGACAGCGCGGTGCAAATTCTGGAGGGGGATCGGAGGGAGTGTGCCAGTTTAGTACTGTACCGTACATGCATAAATAAGGCAAATAGATTGTATGTTAGTTGTGATTAGCCCCGCACCAACCAATTAACCAACAAAGTAATAATTCCCGAGTGACCATCCATGACTAAACCCGCCCCTCCATTCCACCCCACCCTCCCCACCTCCGCTCATTCATTCATTCATCCATTCACTTGTAATAATTACCATCACTCATCGTCTCCGATTGGCTCATAGTCTATCTATAGTATCTGCAACTGAATGAACACTCAAGCACCGCAATTGGCTTATCCCATCCCATCCCGTTATGCAAAGCCCCAACCCCACCGCCAAGCGATCAGCAACAAGGATTCTTGCGGGGGGAAAAAAGTTTTTAACGGAGCCGCACCCGATTCCTCCACCACCCAGCACACTCCCACTCCGCAGGAGTGGGGGGAAGTAGAAGTGAGATTTAATAGCAGAATAAAGGAAAAAGGGACATAAGAAGCCCGTATGGCCAAGTTGGTAAGGCGTCGCACTTGTAATCCAATTCCTTATCAGCGTGCCGTGGAAGGGAGTCTACGGCACGAAGGGGGAGGGAGGGAAGAGATGCGAAGATCCATAGTTCGATTCTGTGTGTGGGCATTTATTTTTTTATTTTTGCTAATTTCCATCTCCCACTGCCCCCCCTCCACCCACCCCAACTACCATACGTACATACATACAGAATTTTGACCTACCTAGCCCAAGCAACCTTCTCCCCCTCCAACCACTCCACCTCCTCCTTCGTGTTCTCCCTCCCAAGCACCGCGTTGCGATACGGATACCTGCCAAACTTTGCGATAACTTCGGTATGCGCATCGGAAAACCCTTCAATAGCCTTCGCAAATCCCTCCCCTTCCCCGCCTTCGCAATCTCTTCTCATCTCAGCGTGTAATCCCTTGAGAAACTCGTGATCCGCCAAATCCTCCGAGTGCCCAAACGGGAGGTAGAACCAACACCTTCGTGAGGGAACCCCCTTCCACGCCAATTCCGGCCCGAGATCGAAGCGCCGTTCCGGCGCGGTGGCAATCCGTGCTAGCGATAGCGCTAGTGGATCCGTCACGTTGTATACACTGCTAGAATCTGCGCGGTGGATGTTGCGCGGTAATTGGTCTAGTAGGAGGATGAGTGAGAGTGCTTCTTCGGGGGTGGTCGCGAGGGAGTGGAGTTCCGATGGGGGGAGATGGGAGAGGGTGGTTATCAGGGGGAGGTAGGTTTCGCTGGAAATGGGATGTTAGTTAGCGGAGGGAGAGGGGAGGAGGAGGAGAAGGAGGAGGGGGGAAGGACCGGCAGGAAGAGTCGAACGCTGGATCGGGTTGGAACCAGCGCTTGAAGGATTCGAGGGTTGGGTGGAGGGGGGTTGTGGTGAACCAGAAGTTTAGGACGGCGGTCGCGGTAGTGGGGGTGAAGGTGGTTTCGGGGGTGGTTGTGGTGGACATTTTTCGGTGAAGGTTGGATTTGTGGGTGAAGTTGTAGTGCTTTGGAATCGCTGGCTTGCGGATTGGAAAGTTGGAGTTGAAATGGAGTTGTAGATGGGGTTTATGTACTCGGCGGAGGAGGAACATTGGGGGTTTATGTATTGTAGAGCACTGTTGGAGTAGAGTGATGCGGGGTTGGTTTCTTGGTGCTTTGCAAGCACGATTTCTTGGAATGTAGGGGATAGATAAAGATGGATGGGTGGATAAGGCTTTTCCAAGGCTTTTTCCACCAGGAATGTTATTGGCGCTTTATCACGGGAATACTGTATACGGTACGAAAAAAAAAAACACTGGTCTGGCGGAGTTATAGAAAGCTCTCTCGGCCGAGCAATGATGCATAAACATTATTAATATATCGGAGAGTTTGCGCTGCAAGACCTAGGTGGCGAGAAAATAGGTTAATATATGTTAGGCAAAAAGTCTTGGCCACCTGGTGGAGGTGTAAACTGTAGTAATGGAGACCTGGATGACATCGCCTTAAACCAGAACACAAATTACGAATGAAGAGCAAGTGACCAATGCAACAAGTGCTACCATATTTGGATGTTGTATAATACAAGATCAATATGACCATAAACTCATCAAATGAGCCAGTTGACCTTGATCCTATACCTTCGCATAATGATACCATCCCCTGACTGCTTCCCACACCCTTCTAAACACAACCAAACCTTGAAAGAAGAAGGGAAAAATTGTCAAGTCAGTGGTTGGAGTGGATGGATCATGCACTTGTTTATCAAGTCTTAGTGACAGATTCCATCAACTGTGGAAGAGGAACTACAGTTGTGAAGTGGGGTGAGGTTTCTACAATTTTGCAGTAATTACAGCCCCAGTGAATAATGAAAAGCCCCAAATCATGCCAGCAAAGGATGAAAAAATTAGTGGAAATCTATAAGGTAAGCAATAAGTTCTCAATACTATAAAGGAGTCAAGTTAGAAATTATATATTTACTGACATCATATATATTTATGTAAAAAGCAGAGCTGGCTTCATTGAAAAAGAGTGGGATGGATGAGGAGTTCAGGGAGTTTGAGTTGAATATGGTTGAACTTGCAACCTGCTGGGACTAGAGCAGTACTGATCCTGTCATAAGAAAAAATACTCAACTCCAGGTTACCCAATTGGAGTGAGATGGTAAGACAGTTAGGGAGGATTTGCTGAAAGGGTTAGTGTTACGATCCGCTATATGATCTCTCCTTTCTTATATCTTGCAACAGGTAACAACGCTATTGTTAGTTTTCTTATAGGGATAGTACTTACCTATCTCCTATTGTATTCTCCTTCCTTCGAGAATTCTGATACTAGTTCTCTTACGCTATGTCTTAGATATTGACCATTGCCAATACTAAGTCCTTATAACGTTAACTAGTATTCTTTCTGTCTGTTCTTTGTGTTGGTAGGTCTTGTCTGTAAAGAGCGTAAGGGTATTTTATTGATAACTTATAAGATAGGAAATAACTTAGGTGGTTGCGTGAAGAACTATCTGTCAGGTCTTACCGACCTCCTTATATAGTTCTTCCAGCAACCCGCTTACAAATCAAATGAGTCACAACTGTGACTCATGCACTCGCGTAACATATAACCTCATGACCATACTTGGTCATGCGCGAAAGTCCCATGACCTTAAAGGGGTCATGTGCAAAACCTCATGACTCGTATAAACGAAGTCATGCCTCTTAATCCTCATGACTCATAGGCGTGCCTATGAGTCAACGCTCAACATTCCTATCAAATTCAAACATAAACAACTATGACTCGTAACCCAGAGTCATGTGAAACCCTATGACTCGTACCTGAGTCGTAGTGCGAAAACATATCATCGTATGACTCAACTGAGTCATGTGAAAAACCTTTTAACAAATGAAACCATTACAAACCATATCGGGTTTGTAATACTAGCTCCCCTCTTCCTAAATCCTCAGTCCCTTGAGGATTCGTGATGGTACCCTTCATAGTACACATCTTTTCTTATGTTTCTGCGGATGTGTGCCATATCACCCGCAATCCTGCTGAACCTTTTTTCTTCCTCCTTCCTCGCATAGCATTCTCTTGCTAGCTCTCTTTCTAGGGCTCAGATTCTGATATTTTTGCCCGCTATCTCTCCTTTTAATTCTTTTTTATCCTCCTCCATCTTTGCAATTTGTTCCTCCTTTTCCTCCATTTTCCTCTTCAAGGTTTCCTTCGTTTCGAAGGAATCGGTATGGGTTATCGTTGGACCATTTTCCAACTGTTCTCCACCTTTCTTGACCTTGCGCCAAGATTTTTTGCCCCCCCTTCCCTTTGTTTTCGTCCCTGAAAACCTTACTTGCTTTGTCTTTAACAAGATGTTGTTGTCGCATGGTGACTGGGGTGGTGTTCGTGGGGATGGTGACGTTGCCTCCCATGTCGTCATGGGTGGTTCTAGTGGTTGTAGGGGGGTTCTGTATCTTTTCGGCCAGTAATCGGCCCCTTCTTTTTCCGTAAAGTGTACTTGGCATCCATCGTCGAAACAGCCCGTCCAGTTTCCCTGATTGTGTTTTGCTTGTTCGGGTGTAGTTGGCTTGGATGCGGGGAGATCGACTAGATTGATCCAGTCTTTGTCGCTCATTTGTTCTTCCTCTTTGACCAGGCTTTCCTGGGTTTTTTCGGTGAAAGTGTTTGATTGCATAGTCGGCGTTGCTGAAGTTTTCTGCTGGGTACCACTCTTGGTCGTGTTGTGCAGTGTAACCGGTCCACTTGGCTCGGTATTGTAGTTTTCCGTAGTGTAGTCTTGAATCAACGATTTGATCAAGTTCGTATTCGTTTTCTCCTTCTATCTCGATAGGAGGAGGGGGAAGTTTTTTCTGTGAGGGTAGAGGATTGTCTGAGTAAAGTTCGAGTTTGCTGATGTGGAAGACTGGGTGTTTCGTTTTCATTGAGGCTGGGAGGTCTAGCTTATAAGCTTTTTCTCCGATTTTTTCAATGATCCTATATGGTCCGATCTTTCTGTAATCCAGTTTCTTTGATGGTCTCGTGGTATGAATATCTTTTGTCATTAACCAGACTTTGTCTCCTGATTCCAGTCTCGGATCTGGTTTTCTGTGGTGATCGTTGTTTTCCCTCATTTTGTCTTGCGCCATTTGGATTTCTGTCCGGATGAGTTCGTGTAGTTTGCTGATATCCTGTTTCTCCAGTATCCCTGGTAATCCTGTGTATCCCATAGGTTCGTTAATAGGGTGATGTCCATAATTCGCATAAAAGGGTGTTGTCTTGATGACGTCTTGTCTCGTGTTATTGTATGCAAACTCTGCAAATGATAGCCATCCTTCCCAATCTTCTTGGGAGTATTCCACATATGCCCTTAGGAATTGTTCTAGTGAGGCATTTGTTCATTCTGTTTGACCATCCGTTTGGGGGTGAAATGCCGTGCTTATCCTTCAGGTGATGTCCAATCCTTTGGTCATTTCTTTCCATAGGTCCGATGTGAATATTGATCCTCTGTCGCTGATGATGTCTTTCGGTAATCCATGCAGTTTAAAAACATTTTTCATAAACAGTTGCGTAAATTCTCCAGTTTTCATATCCTTTCGACAGGGTATGAAATGAGCCATCTTGGTCAGGCGATCCACAACGACCCATATGGCGTCATAGTTGTTCGATAGTGGCAAGTCTGTGATGAAATCCATACTGATGGATTTCCATGGTTTCTCTGGTATTTGTAATGGTTGCAATAGTCCATATGGTGCATGACGACTTGGTTTTATTCTTTGACACGTGTCGCAGTTTTTGACATATCGCTTAATGTCTTGGCGCATGCCTGGCCAATAGTATGTCCGTTGTGTTAATTCCAATGTTTTGGCTGTTCCACCATGTCCATTTTGTGGTGTGTCATGATTCCTTCTTATTGCTTCGGTTCTTATTGGTTCATCTTCTGGTAACCAGATTTTTCCTTCATACCACATGTATCCTTCCTTCCAGTTGCATGATCCTAGTGCCACTTTCGGGTATTCTTTATCCTTCCTTTCTATGGCTTTTCGAATATCTTGTAGTAACACATCTTGGGATATTTTTTCTTTGATATTCTTTTCGGTTCCTTGGTCTTCTATCGTCCATAGTTTCATAGTATTGATTTCTTCTGAGCCCGAGGCATATCCTTCATCCACAAA